AGTCCCCAAGTAAAGCTTAATAAATCAATTATGGCCAAAAAGTTAAGGGAACACGGTCAAGGACCAGTCACCCTTTTAGGGGCTCATTGTCAATGACAGGATTAGCATGCCTCCTTCTTTTCACTCGCCTGGTTACCAACCTAAGACAGGAAAAGGGCCAAAGCTGCCCTGCTTTCCAATGATGGGTAAGGAACCTAGCCAGGTTACCAACCTAAGACAAGAACAGGGCCAAAGCTTCCCTGCCTTCCAATGATGGGTAAGGAACCTGTGTGAAAGAAGTATGCTAAGGCATGTACCCCAAGACAGACGTGAGTCACCTGCAGCCTTTATAAACTAAAGAAGGGGGACTCTGTAGGAAACCATCCTGAGCAGGTCTTAGCTCTGCCATGCACAACGCTATTTTGTCTGTTAACCTCATTTCACATACTCACTGCTGACACGCAGTGGCCAGGCTCAGCCTAAGGCCACCCCGCTCATCTCTGGGAATACGCTTAACTCACTAAATCAGTACCTGTAATTCAATGCCCTGGGGCATGCCCCTCCTTCATTATTGTAAACTGATTTCCTAGAGTTGGGTTTCTGTAGCTGTCCGGCCTACTCAGTTGCCTATTTATAGCCTGCGAGTTTCTTTAATAAATTGAAGCTTGATCAGAGAAATTTGTCTTGCCTCCATTTTTCACGTCTCTTGTGCCTCCCTCAATCCGCACTCACCCTCTTTAGGACACGTTGAACCCCACAGGTCAGGTCAGGAGAGAACAGTATGGTTATCACAAGAGTCCAGAATTAAGGTTACATAGTGGAGTGTATTCAGGGGGCTGCCGGGGGATTGTATACCAATTAAAGAATTTTTCTTTTACTTTTCAAAGAGAGGAGTGCACTGGCAGGATAGCTCAGCAGGGATAAAAGTGCAACAGTGAATGAATGGAAATCCAAAATCTTTGTAAATGTTCATTAAAATTAATAAAATAAAAAAAGAACGATTTATATAAAGTTACACTATTGAAGTTCCATTTACTTTAAGGGGACAAAAGGAAAGGAAGTGTCTATTCATTTGGTTTTCTGCTTCTTAGAGCAAAGACTTTTTTTTATGAGTAGTAGCCTCATGTCTTCATTTTATAGGAGACTAGGATCTTCACTTAACACAGAAAAGGGAAATATGTAACAAGTGCTACAGGGGATAGAAAACCATAAGCTTCCATCCAGTCCACCTTGATAGAGCATTAAAATGTAAATGGAGTGGGCCACAAACTGGTTTTAGAAGCTGCTTTTCTTTTAAAATGTAAATGTTATTGTTGTTATGTGTCATTGAGTCGCTTGTGACTCATAGGGACCCTACAAGAGCCCTAAACTCTGCTCTATTCTGTGCCAACCTCACTGTCTACGATGCACCTACTCCCATTACCCCAATCACTGAATTGATCCATCTCATCGAGGCTCTTCCTCTTCTGAGCTGTCCCTCCACCCTCCCAAGCATGATTGTCCTCTCCAAGGACTGTCCCTCCTTGCAACATGCTTAAACTATGTCAGATGGAGCTTCAGAATCCTTGCCTGCAAGGAGCAGCCTGGTTTCACTATCTCCAGGACGAATCTTTTTCTCTTAGCTGTCCATGATATATTCAATACTCTTCTCCAGCACCACAGCTCAAAGGCATCAATTCTCTTTCTATCATCTCTAGTCATTTTCCAGCTCTCCGATGCATAGCATACAATTCCTGATCAGGCACACCTTAGTCTTTAGACTGACACCATTGCTTTTCAATACTCTAGAGAGGTCCTTAACAGCTGACTTTCCCCAATGCAATTCATCTCTTTTCCTGGCTGTTCTTGGAGTGTTGATTGTTAAACCAAGCAAACTAAAACTGTTAAATCTCAATCTCTTCAACATTCATAATGATGCTGCCAATTGGCACAGTGGTGAGAATCTTTGTGTGTGTGTGTGTGTGTGTGTGTGTGTGTTTTATGTGGAGTTTCAATCCATATTAAAGACTTCAGTCTTTGATCTTCTGCAGCAAGTACTTCAGGTCCTTCTCAGTTTCAATAAGCAGGGTTGTGTCATCTGCATAATGCAGGTTGTTGATGAATCTTCCTCCAATCCTGATGCCACATTCCTCCTCGTACAGCCCAATGTCCCAGCTGATCTGTTCTGCATACAGTTTGAAAAGGCAAGGAGACAGAATACATCCCTGGAGGACACCCTTCCCGATTTTGAACCATGCAGTATTTACTTGCTCTATTCTGACGACTGCCTCTTGGTTCAAATATAGATTTCTTATAAGCATAATCAAATGTTTGGGGATTCTCATTCTTCTCAGAATCAACCACAGTTTGTTCTGATCCACACAGTCAAAAGCCTTTGCATAGTCAATGAAACACAGATAAACATTCCTCCTGCTACTCTCTGCTTTCAGCCACTATCCATCTAACATTAGCTATAATATCCCTAGTACCCCAGCCTCTTCTAAACCCATTATGCATATCTGGCAGTTCTCTGTTGATGTGTTGCCCCAGCCATTTTTGGATAATTTTCAGCAGAATCTTGCTTGCATGTGATATTAATGATACTATTTGATAATTTCTGCACTCTGTTGGGTCACCCTTCTATAGAATGGGAACAAATATCCACCTCTTCCAGTCAGTTAGCCAGGTGGCTGTCCTTCACAGGTGCTTTGCCTGCAAGGTGGCAGCCTAATAGAGATGCATGCAGTCCTTTGCCTTCCATCATCTCTCATGAGTCTCTGCCTTCTATGACCCGTGAACCCAGAACACCAGGTATGAAAAGTGGTACCCAAACATGGGGCACAAAGGTAAATGAATTAGCACAACGTGAAGAGAATGAAAGTAGCGTGTACACCCAGAGTAGGCGATCTTTCGGAACAGTGGCAAAGTCATAAGAAATTTTGGTAGAAATCCAGGGGAAGAAGTAGAAAAGGTTTCGTGAGGTTTCCCCTTCGAGGTTTAATAAATTGTTTAAGAATTCAGAGGCAGGAGCAAAAAACAAGAAATCATGGGAAATTTCCCATCCACAGAAACACAGTATATTAAACTGCTTAGAGACTTACTGCAGGGCTCAGGAGTAAATGTAAAAAAGGCTGCATTTAAGAATTTATTTTCTGTGGTAAAGAAGCATTGTTATTGGTTCTATCCCTCTGGTCTCAATCAGTTGAATGCCAAGATTTGGAAACAAGTCATGAGAGCTTCAAGAAGAGCTCACCCACCAGACAGGAGACCGTAATCCAATATATATTTGGTCGTTGTGCAGTTTGATTATCATTACTCTACAACCCTTACAGTCTGAAGTAGAGACTGACTGTGAGCAACACAACCCCAGGCAACAGTATGAGCATTGGAGATAAGTCAGCTGGTGATAATTTATCTCCTCCACTGGCCATTGCCGTTGCTTCTGAATTCAGGAGGGCTTGCATCTCCTATACTCCTCCTTCTACAACTGAGGAAGAGAGGGATAAAAATCTTTATTTGTTACATCAAAAAGAAGCACAGATTCTCATTAAATTTTGGCCAATATGGACTTTGATAAGAATAGTAATGATGTCTATGAAGAACTGTCCAAAAATTTGCACATAGAGATGGCTGAATCTTTGCATAAAAAAGAAACAGCCTTTGACACCTTTAACAAGAGCCTTAAGAAGACACAATCTTGAATTATTATTTTCTCTTAATTGACATATGTTCACCCATATAGTGCTCTTCCCAAGAAATTATTTATAATTTAAAGCATAGAAAAACATATGCTACAGCTCAAAACAGAAGCCTCTAAGTGTTTATGATTCCTGGGTTTTTTTTGTTTGAGATTGCTGTTGTTTGCTTTTTGTCGTAATTTAATGTCATAATAGTTTTGAGCTGATACAATTTGATAATTTCGGTAAAATAAGAAAAGTTAAAAAAAAGATATAAGAGAGAAGTTAACATAAAAGAAAACTTAATTTGGAGAATTAAGAAATAAAAAAATAAGTATCAGAGTAAAGAGAAACAAATTAGAAGCTGCCAGCCTAGAAGGGCTGCAGTGCTTCGCCTTCCATCATTTCTTGTGAGTCTCTGCTTTCTGCGACCTGGGAACCCAGTACCAGTACAACAATTGGCATGGAGGTTTCTCTGAATTTGCTACGTTGTTGCTGAATACTACTGAACCAACCTTTAGCTGACCCTGGCGGGGTGGGAGGGTGTTTCAGAGGCAGTTAATCGCATGGGAGGAGACTGTCTATCCTCCCGCGGATGCGGATCAGCCGGTGGCACTGCATGTCTTCGTGATTGCAGCTCAGCTTCTTGCCACTAGGACACCAGTGTTCCTTATTAGAATTTGCTTTAGGTCATATGATTTCAGATTCATATTCACAGCTATCGCTGCTGGGCAGCCTGCATGTTTGTTTTACACTAGAACACTACAATGGTGCCTGCCACTTAGCAGGTGCTGGATATCTGAATGAAAGTACTCAATACTATGCCCTAAGGATGTGCTTCAATAAATGACTGAGCAAACAAAAGACTGAGGGACTTGAATCAACCTAAGGTTCACGAGCACGGAACAAATGTTCAGGTTGGGTTGGAGCGGCTCCTGCTGTAGCGGTTTAACACCTCCTCACCCCTCCGCCCGAAGGCCCACGTGAGTCCACGCGGCCACCTCTTTTCTCTGGCCGCTCCAGTTTCCCAGGCCCACGCCCCCCATCCCTGATACAGGCTCTTTCTGTTTCCCGCTCTCCGTGACTCCTCGGATCCTACGCCCGTGGCCTTAATCCTCCCACTTCCTCGGGCCTCTGCCGTGTAGACACCGCCCCACCGACATCGCCCACCTGCGCCTCGTGCCCCGTAGAAGCCCCCCCCCGTAGAAGCCCCCCCCCCGCTCTGTCTCTGCGGCTGCGCGCTAGCCGGGCCGAGCTGGGGGAGGGGGTTCGCGCGGGGGGCCGGGAGAGTTTCTGTCACGGTGGCGGGAGACGTAGCGAGCCCAGCGGCTGCGGGCAGACCCAGAGGGAGTGGAGGAAGCGGTCATGTCTCGCTACACGAGGCCCCCCAACACCTCCCTGTTCGTCAGGAACGTCGCGGATGCCACCAGGTGAGCGGTGGTCGCCTCAGGTTGGGTGCGTGGGGGAGGGGCAGGTAACGGCTGCGGCGCGAAGCTTGGCCGAGGCCCTGTCGGTCTACCTGGTGATTGCCGCCGGGCCCTGTGCTTGCTGTGGTCGAGGTGTCTGGTCCCGCGGAGGTGCTAGCCCCAGGGCTACCACGGGCCGGGGCGGGACTCGCGCCCGCGCCCTTCTCACTGGTGTTCCGCCTCGCCGCGGCCCAGCAGCATCCACAGACAGAGCGCCCTGCGCCCCGCGCCCAGCGCCCCGTGCCCCCTTGCAGTCTTTCTCCTTCTTCAACATGAGTAAGTGTCCACATTTCAGCCCTTGGGTAGGTGGAAGACCTCGGTAAGACCGTGCGATTTACAAGCCTAGGTGAAGAGGAATTGGGGATGATGAGAAGAACCTTGGGCCTTACCTTCTCCCAGTTCTGATCAATTTACAAGTGGTGTTGGTTAAATTTTACTTACACAGTAGTGTTCAGTATTCAATAAATGAGGTTTATATATTTTTGAAGTTCAGAGTACTATATAAACAGCCACAGGAACATGATTTGGTTAGACTTCCCTAGTTGATTTGGATGCTCTTGGTCCCTTTTTGCTAATTCTAGCTACATCGTTTCTAAGCTGGGGCCTTAAGGATTGAATATCATATGGCACTTTTCACCCTTAATAAGTGCCAGAGAAAAGGGTAGAAGCAACATTAGTGAACATTTTTCACTGATTTACCTAATTTTTTTCTTTCCCACCCTCAACAACCTTTCAAGATAGGATGTTTTATTTTACGTACACAAGGGAATGTTGAGGCTCAGAGCTTAAATACCTGATCTGGGACTGCACAGCCCCCAATATACAGAGTTTGAATTTCAGTCCTAGGCTTACTTGTCCATTGTTGACTCATGGTTCCATAGAGTTCTCTTGCCTGTACGAGTGACACAAACTGTTTGCAAATAATGGGCTGGTAGGCTGAAGGTTGGCATTTCAACCCATCCAGCAACTCTGTGAAGAAAAGGCTTGAGTTGACCAGATGGGCCCATATCCAATGACAGGTGTCCTTGTAAGATACAGAAAACAAAGAGAAGGTAGGATCTGTGGTCTCTTTCTTGTAAAATTGACAGCAAAGAAAACCCTCGTTTTACAGAGCAGTTTTGCTACTACTGTATGTTAAAATTGACAAGAAACCAGTTAAAAGAAGTCTTTACTGAAGCAAATTGCCAACACTTTCTTCCTGGTGCTGCTGGTTGGCTTTGAATGCCCAACCTTTAGGTTGATAATTGAACACAGTTTGTGCTGAGGCCTTTTCATAGTTTCAGTTACCTGTGAGGGGTGACTGTTTTTTTATGTGATTCATATATATGTATGTGTATAAATATACATATATCCCGCAACTATAAACTGAATTAGCAAATCCAGTTTCAACTCATGGGGATCCTTGATCACGTTTCTGAAGTTATACATCTTAAAGAAGAGCAACTGCCTCATTTTCTCCCTTGAAAGAGGTGGTAGTAGGTTTGAATCACTGATCATTTAGTTAGCCCAACACATTGACCTCATCATCGTAGTTCTTTTAATGTACCTTGTTGTTGTTTGCTATTGTGTTATAACGGACCCATAACTTACCCTCCAGCAGGTTTTCAGGGACAGTAAATAGAACAGGAATAGATGGCCTTCTTCCATGGAGCAGTAGCTGGTGGATTTGAACCACGTGCCTTTCGAATTGCAGCTTCTTACTAGTAGACCTTAATATAACTTTGTAAATACTTAAAAGGGAGTTCTGATTAACAACAACAACAGTAGTAAAGAGTTGCACTGCCAACCAAAAGGCACGCAGTTCTAATCCAACTAAGAAAGATGGGCAGTCTCCTTTTGTTAACTGCTCTGAAAATTTCCTGGAGGGTCTGTTATGGGTTTGTTCTGATGTAACAAAACATGATAACAATGTTTAAATGGTTAAACATTTAAAGAATTATTAGCATTTTACCACTCAACCTGTTTATTAATACTTTAAATAGAAAACAAAAGCAAAATTTGTCAAAAAAACAGTTAGACCATTTTCAGATTTTACCATCCAGTTTTCCTCCTCCCAACATCTTAACTCCGGCCTTAACAGCCGTTGTTGTTTTGGTTTTGTGTGGTGTTTTTTGTTGGGTTTTTTGGGGGGTTTGTTGTTTTTTGGTTTTTGGTGTTTTTTTGCTTTCCTTTGTTCCAGGTAGACTGTTGGGATTGAATGGTGTCAGTGATGTCACATAAGGGTCATTGGAAGCTGTGGTGTTCACTAAGTAGTAAGAAGCTGAGCAGCTAACCTGAAGGCACATGATTTGAATCCACCAGCAGCTCCACAAGAGAAGGTTGGGCGATCTCCTCCTGTGAATTTTATTGTTGTTGTTAGGTACCGTTGAATCGAGTGTGACTCATAGCAACCCTATGAACCAAAGATCTGAACCCAGTCCTGTCCTGCGCCATCCTCACACTTCCAATCACATCAATTCACCTGACTGAGGGTCTTCCTCTCCTTCGTAGGCCCTCCACCCTTCCCAGCATAATGCCCATCTCCATGGAATAGCCCCTCCCAGTAATATGCCCAAAGTATGTGAGGCAAAGCGCCACCAATCTTGCCTCCAGAGAGCACTCCTGTTGCTCCCTCTCCAAGACATAACTGTTCTCTTGGCCATTCATAGGATGTTCAGTGTTCTTCTCCAACACCAACAGCTCAAAGACATTTTCTTTTTCAGTCATCCTTATTCATTATCCAGCTCTTAGATGCATAGTGAGTGAGTGTAGAGACTGTGACCTGAATCAGATGCACCTTAGTCCTCAAACTGACATCATAACTCCTCAGTAATTTAGAGAGGCCTCTAACTGCAGATTTTCACAGTGCAGTGTGTCTCCTTATTTCCTGACTGCTACTGCTGGTACTAAGGGTGTTAATTATGGATCCAAGCAAGATGAAGTTGTTGGCAGTTTCAGTCTCTTCTCTTTCCATTATGATTTGACCTATCAGTCCAGTGTTAAGAATCTTCGTTTTCTTCGCTTTGAGATTCAGTCCCCATGGAAGGCTGCATTCCTTGATCTTCTGCAACAAGTCCTTCAAGTCCTCCTCACTTTCGGCAAACAAAGTTGTGTCATCTGCATAATGCAGGTTACTGATGAGTCTTCCTCCAAACCTGATCCCTGACACCTCTTCATAGAGTCCAGCTCCTCGAATAATTTGCTGAAGATCATTCAAAAATGGCTGGAACAGTATATAGATATGGAGCTGCCAGAATTTCAAGCAGGATTTAGAAGAGGCCATGGCACCAGGGATATCATCGCTGATGTCAGATGGGTCCTGGCTAAAAGCAAAGAATACCAGAAAAAATGTTTATTTGTATTTTATAGACTTTGCAAAGGATAGTGATTAAAGTGTTCTGATTTCCTTTCCTTTTTTTAAAAAAATAAAAACCACTTCTTTTTAAAAAATTTTATTATTTTTTGTGTGTGTACCCTCAGATCAGATCTGACTGGAACAGGAAGAGATTGCCCCTCCTCCAGCAGAGCACCTGGTGGATTCAAACTGAATACCTCTGGGATTGCAGTGCAGCTTCTTGCCACTAGGCCACCAGAGTTCCCCACTTTCCTTTTTTTTTGGCTACGTTTTAGTGCTGCTCCTGGAGGGCAAGAAAAATGGAAGATATTGTTAGTGTTAATGAAATAATAATAGCTAATTTTTCTTGATGCCTTTGAACTGTGATTTTGGGGAAGTACTGAATAACCCAAGTATTGCCAAAAGAATAGACAGGCCTTGGAGAAAGTTGTAGTCAGAGTGCTCCATAGGAGGGAAAGATGATAAAGCTTCATCTCATATCCTTCAGGTACGTTGCTAGGAGAGGCTGTTCGTTGGAGAGGAACATCATGGAAAGGTGGAGGAATGATGAAGGAGAGGAAAACCCTCAACCAGGTGGATTGTCATGGTGACTGGAGCAGTGTGCTTGAGTATGTCAGAAATTATGAGCATGGCACAGGATAGGATAGGATTCTGTTCATAGGGTCACTATGAGTCTTACCTTGATGGCACCTAACAGCAACTTTTCTTGTGTATCTTAGGCAGCATGCTAAATTTTTATATACATTATTAAATTATTATGGTAATTCTATTATGTATTATCTTCATTTTACAGGTAAGAAAGTGACGTTTAGAGACATGCAGTATCTTGCCTAATACTGCACAACTTTGGGTAATGTTTTGAAAGTTAAACAACCTTTATTAAATGTTTTTGTACAGTGGTACAAGTTACTTGGTAATACGACACCTAGACACATTTAAAATTAGTTTTAATGTGTGATTTATTTATGAAGTATTGGGATAAAATTTTTAAACAGGACAGAAAAATAGTATGTAAAATTACAAATAGAAAATGAAATTAAAGATACCCATTTGAGTCTGAAACTTGGCTCTTTTCTCTCCCTATTTTCAAATATACAAATGTTATTTAATAAGAATGTTAATTTTGTAACATCTTTTCCAAATATTTTTGTAAGTGATTATAAATAGAGAATATAAGAAAATTTGATAGGAATGGAAGTTGAACAAAAGAGAAATACACTTTAATAAAAATGTTGATTAGGAAAAATTAATTTTGTTTTTGCCTTTTTACTATATTGAGTAATTCTTAAAAGTTATTTGATATAGTTTGCTAATGAAAAAGTAATGTCCAAATCAAAAATAACACATTCCTATTTTGATGTATAAAGTCATATAAGATTGGAGAGTAGCAATCAAATATCTTTCATGCACATATTTAGTAGTATTCTGTGATTACATTTTATGGGAATTGATATTTTTATGTTAATGTAGAAAAAAACCTTAGTAATATTTGTGATAAAGTGATAACCAACTAAGAGTAGACCTATTTTAGCCTAGTAAAGGTAATCTTTGAGAAACCTCATAGGCAACTGCAAAAAGGTCAAATGGGGTTTAGAAGAGGCCATGGCACCAGGGATATCATTGCTGATCT